ACAATCTGACACCTGAGGCCTGTACTACGAAGCCGAATTTTTGCTTATCGAGGTAACTTCAGGGTTAACTCTGGGTTCCCGGTCCTACGACGCTGGTTCTGTTCTTAGCGGGCTAGATCTCCATGGTAACTTATGCTGAACGACTTTTTTTTTTTACCAGCTGTATTCACCTTGCAGGTGCAACTATGTGGCTTTGATCCTGGATAAAGTGTTTAAGTCATGGATGTTTAAAGTTTAACTTCTTCATAGTTGTCTAATATTAAAGTTCACTTTTCATTCAGGAAGTATGACGCTGCGCTGTCAGTACGCTTGTCATGTGAACGCGCTCTCAGCCGGACGGAGAAACCCTGGCTTGAGTTAACGAGTTGATAACCAGCGTCGTAGGACAGTTTAGCGAGAGTGCGTTTGTTTTGGGTTAGTTAAGCCAGATAACGATTAATCAATGTTCTAACTTGAAACACCTTTTTTTCATGTACCATTAGCTAGCTTTAATCCTTTTGACTTTGTTTATCGATTCACCTTTTTTTTTAGGACTGAGGAGAAAAGAGCAGATTTTCCAACACAAAGCTGTGTGTCCATGAGTAGTGACCGCTCCATGGATTACCCTAGCAAGTGAGTTTGGCCTCGGGCCCAATTCACTGACAATTCACTAGCTGGCCCGCCATCTAGTGAATTGTCAACGGGGGGGAGCCTCGCTGCGGTGCCGGCCGTCAGCGAACCGAGCCGGCCCTTGACGACCGGCCGTTCTGTGATTCTCCAGATTCTACAGATGGCCAGTCCGCCCCTGCTCACAAACTTATTAAGGTCCAAAGCTTTAGTGTGTTTTGAATCAATGCTGACCGTCTCTTCTCGGTCATTGTAGACCGAATGCTTCTCGTTTTGCGCCGTCTGGTTCAAATGACCATCACATTTGCATGCTCGTGCCAGGGCCGGGGGAGGGGTTACAAGGCTCGCGTCTTGTGCTGCATTCACTTGCACTCGGACATTAGGGATGTTCTCTCATAAATGTCCGATGAGCCAAAACTTTTCTTTCAAAACAAAGCACATTTTCCGGGCCAAATATTATTGCTGGCGGGCCAACAATGGCCTGTTGCCGACCCATGCCCTACAGCTTTCAAACGGCAAGATGCAATTCCTAAGTAAGTTAACCGGACCTTTTGAGCTCATATTGTCTTAGAAAGGATACAACAACACTGTATGTGCTTGCCTACGGTCTGACACCTGGTGGCTACGATTAGTTAATGTTCTAACTTGAAACACCTGCTTTCTTCAGGCAACGAGCTTCTAACATCTTAGCCTGTCTTTTGTCAATTCTCCATGTATTGCAACACTTACATTCTTCAGTGTTTGTTTGACTTAAATCAAACACTAATGAACGTTTTTTTCTCCCCAGGGATCAACAGGAAACTTCAGAGGTTCACACAGAGTTGGACTCCATATTCAGGGTGTGTAAACATGCTCACCTTTAATGTGATATTTCGGATTGTTGGAAGCAGAGGTGGGGACTCGAGTCACATGACTTGACTCGAGTCAGACTCAAGTCGCATATTTTTGTAGTGAGATATTACATTTAGTTTTTTCTAAAAACGTGATTGGGTGATTATAGCGCCGTGCGCGCAAACCTGGCAACCCACTAGACGGCAGGAGCGTCAGTTAACATGGCAGCGGCTAGCGTTACTCCACAAATAGTGAAGTTTGGATTCAAGGATTATGTTGTCGATGACGCTAATAAGAAGAGAACAGCGGTATGCAGGGTCTGCAGCATAAAGATCAGTGACAGCGACCACCAACACAACATCCAACTTCATTCGTCACTACAAAAAAAACCCACAGAGAAAGGTGCGTGAATGGTTGTGATGTGTAGCTAGAAAGCTAACGTTAAGTTTAAGCTACGTTAGACTTGGTTTCAAATCGATTAGCAAGAGACTGGACAAAACGGTAAATGAACACTAGAACCTCCAAGGGATTCATTTTGACTAACCCTGATACTGACGGTCTGAGAGATGAGAGATCATACTAGCTAGCATAGAGAGATGATAGAGAGAGAGAGAGAGATATCTGCGATAAGAGAGAGCGCGAGAGATATATACTCGAGATCATCTCATCTCTCTCTCTCTCTCTCTTCTTCGCTCTCTTCTCTCTCTCTCTCATGCTATCTCTTTCTCTCTCTCGCGCTCTCTACTCCTCTCTCTCTCGTCTCTCTCATCTCTCTCTCTGTCTCTCTTCTGCTCGCTCTCGCTCTCTCTCTCTCTCTCTCTCTCTCTCTCTCTCTCTCTCCTCTCTCTCTCTCTTCTCTCTCTCTCTCCTCTCTCTCTCTTCTCTCTCTCTCCTCTCTCTCCTCTCTTCTCTCTCTCTCTCTTCTCTCTCTCTCTCTCTCTCTCTCTCCTTCCTCTCTCCCTCTTCTCTCTCTCTCTTCTCTCTCTCTCTCTCTTCTCTCTCGAGAGAGAGAGAGAGAGAGAGAGAGAGGTTTATTTCCCCTGTGTTATCAGAAGTTTCTGTAAACTGTTGAATAATGTAGTTCATCTACTTTTAGTAGTTTGTTTAAATGTTTTAATTATGTTGTTTTTGTTTGTAGAAGTGCATCATTCCTTGATTTATTGTGAAATGAATCTGAACTTTTTGATCTGTTATGATGATAAACTGAAGCCATTTCTAAATTAACCCAATTAAGTGAGTTTTAAATCGTCCTACTTAATTTATAAGGAAATTATGAAGAGGAACAAATTAAATGATTTGAAAATGATATCTCTGTAGGTGCTGACGCTGTTGGCGGTTCTAGTGTTAACAGACATTTAAATTAAATATGTGTAATGGCAAATGCCATAATACGATTTTCTTACCTGGAATTCTGCCTTTTTGAACAGACTTTGATTGAGACCTAGCTATATTGTCTGCAGTTCTAGGGTTAATATGAATCTAATATGATTGTCATCGGTCTAAATTAGATTTCAAATGATTAACTGTGTATGTAATGAAGATCATAGTGTGGGTTCAATCCATTTCATAACCACTGATTTAAATGCGGAAACTGGCTTATTCATCAGAATTTGTATGACTTGACTTGACTCTCACCACAGTGACTTGGGGACTTGCTTGATACTTGTAGGGTCAAGACTTGAGACTTGCTCATGACGTGCACATGTAGGACTTACTCCCACCTCTGGTTTGAAGTAGTGTTCTTATCCATGCAGTAGATCATGCAGTTTGGAGAAACTACAAAAGTTATTTTGATGATAATTCTGATTTGTAATAGGGAGAAAGGTGCCTCTCTCAGTCCCACTCTGCAGCCCAAACGCATGTTCCTGCACGTTGCATGTAATCCTTGAAGTGCGAGTCGTGACGTCTCCTGTGCAAGATTGTAAGATTATCGGCATTAGAGTTCACTTTAGTAAAATTGCATCATATTTAATGAATTAAATGTTTCCTGGGGTTTCCTCTGATGTCCCTCGAGAAACTCCGCTTCAACTATCGGTTATTTACTGGTAATGTTAACTGCTTGCCAACGCAAGTTAGCAAAGATCTGAATATGAGCACACAGGCTAGCAGCAGGGGGTTTGGGACCGCTGGGAGGAGAAGGTTTTCTGGGTGTGGGGGCAGGGTGGGATCGGGATTGCCGGGCGTCAACGTGTTGTGCAAGAATCAGAGCAGACACTGGAGGAGTGATCAGAACCTCTACGTACGTTTTATTGACCTTGCTTGTTTTTCTTTGTGTTAGCAAGTGAAATTGCAAACAGAAGTGACACAAAAAACTGCAAAATGAATGATCACGTGCCCATATCAGAAGATTTAGGGGTAAGCTATATTTAGAATATGGTATTGCTTTACCAATAAATATTGCTGTCCTATAAACCTTTCAGTTGGGGAACTGAAGCGGTTATTCATGCTCTCATTAAAGCCACCAGACTCCTTTGGCATAACACGTACGTTGCCATGCCTTGATTGCGTTAGATGGTTTGTGTTAACGGAACGTCCACACAGCAGCGTTAAAAAAAATCTTGAACGCTTCTGCCCATTCACTTTGAATGGGGTGACGTCACTTCTTCTCCCTCACTTTTCGGCCGAAATGGATTGTGGGCAGGCGAGCGGGAGATTTTGAGGATTCAAAGTTGAACATGTTCAACTTTTGAAGCTGAGGAGGGAAGCGTCAGCCAATCAAATCCTTGTACGCAAATCTGACAGTTCAAGCTCTAGCCAATCAAAACGGCGTGTATGCTGGGAGAGACTACCGCAGGTCAGTTCCCCTCATATTCCAAAAAATGGAGGGAGAATTAGCGGTAGCGAATCAATCACCCGGTGCTTTATGACCAGACCTACCGGGATATAAACCGAGGAGGAGCCAGGCATGGAGGAGGTGGCAGAGACAGTGGTAGGTTTTTCGCCTGTTTTGGGGAGTTTATATCCAGTTTACTACTTCAGGGCTTTTTGTCTTCGTATGTCGCGGGGGCGGGAGATTCATGTGATTGGTTTGCTCGCAAAAAAATCCTCAAGCTTCAGATACACCTCCAAGATTTTTTTAACGCTGCTGTGTAGACGTACCGTTATTGTGTGATTGTTGTCAATCCGAGCTAACCCAAACACCAAAGTCAAACAATCCAACTAACCAATCAAAGCAGCAGTAGACGCAGTCACAGGTATCGTCCAACAGTTGAACGGGCAAACGGCTAAATGATTAGTGTAGTGGCAGGAATAAGCCTTGATTGCAACACTGTGACAGCAGCTGAATCACTAGCAAGGATTCTGCTTTCGGGTAGAAACAGATATAGGATGGATTTTTTCTGACTCAAGGGGAAGACTTGGTAAGACAGAATACAAGCACATTTTTAACAAAAATTCAATTTTATTGAATTGCAGCTTCTTGAGGAGAACATGTTTGCCTATCTGAAGAAAGAGCTTAAGAAGTTCCAGAAGGTTTTGAGAACTAATAACCCAGAATGCTTCGAGAGCCAAGGTAAGTCTGAAGAAGTGGTTGATGGGGAAGAGGAAGAGCAGAGGAGGGAGCAGAAGAGAGGCATTTCTGAAGATCACACTGGACTTCCTGAGAACAATGAAGCAGGAGGAACTGGCAGACTCACTGAGAAACAGTAAGGACGTTTAAAAATAAATGTTAAAATCATAGATTCACACGTCTACAGTTTACTGTCAATATTAAAATCTGCATTAAATCTATTCATACTGGTTAACACACCATCAAAAGCTGTTTGTCTAGGCATGTGGAGCCTACTGTTGCGTCGACTTTACAAGGGCGCTGAGGCAGCTTTCGCCTTTAGGTTGCTCAGGGGGACCATAACCAGCTAACAGTTCTCTCCGATCTTCCAGGTGTTGTTTTTTAAAGTTCTATTAAAATATTGTCCATGGGACAGCAGTGTTTTCCCTAGAAAACGCAGTTCGCTTCGCTCTTGGTGTGTGTGGGTATGTGCATGACACGAGCACTTGAGAGACACAAGAGCAGAGATTATTAATGTTCGTGTCACATTTTATCAGTGGTTCTTATAAAATGAAGAAAGGTGAAACACTGGACAGATCTTCAAGTCAGTGTAATGTCACTAAAATAAACAATTTCTGCATATTTGCTGCATACCAATATTTACGAAAGTCAAGGTATCTCTCGGCTGTGATTGGTTGTTCCTTTTCACATTACAAGCAGTGTAAGCTGCTGCCTTCCCAACGTTTCACTTTCAACTCGGGCGTGGCTTTCTCGTTTCCAGCCGTGTCTTTGTTGACAATAATGAAAATATGCAAGCCTAAACACGGCCATAAGCCCCTAATCATTTTTTTTTTCTTGTAGAATTTCTTGCTGCAATGGGCCAACATAAACTCAAATCTAATCTGAAGAAGAAGTTTGAATTTGTGTTTGAGGGGATTGCTAAAGCAGGAAATCCATCCGTTCTGAACCAGATCTACACAGAGCTGTACATCACAGAGGGAGGGACTGCAGAGACCAATAAAGACCACGAGGTCATACAGATTGAGAAAGCATCCTGGAAACCAGACACACCAGAAACAACAATCAGATGTGAAGACATCTTTAAGGCCTCACCTGGAAGAGATAAACCAATCAGAACAGTGATAACAAAGGGTGGGGCTGGCATTGGGAAAACAGTCTTAACACAGAAGTTCACTCTGGACTGGGCTGAAGGCAAAGCCAACCAGGACATACAGTTCATATTTCCTTTCTCTTTCAAAGAGCTGAATGTGCTGAAAGAAAGAAAGTACAGTTTAGTGGATCTTGTTCATTACTTCTTTCCTGAATTTGAAAAAGCAGGAGTCTGGAGGTTTGAAGAGTCCCAAGTCCTGTTGATCTTTGACGGTCTGGATGAGTGTCGACTTCCTCTGGACTTCCACAACACTGAGATCCTGACTGATGTCACAGAGTCCACCTCAGTGGATGTGCTGCTGACAAACCTCATCAGGGGGAAGCTGCTTCCCTCAACTCGCCTCTGGATAACCACAAGACCTGCAGCAGCCAATCAGATCCCTCCTCAGTGTGTGGACATGGTGACAGAGGTCCGAGGGTTCACGACCCACAGAAGGAGGTTTACTTCAGGAAGAGATTCAGAGATCAGGAGCCGGCCGGCACCATCATCTCCCACATCAAGACCTCACGAAGCCTCCACATCATGTGCCACATCCCATCTTCTGCTGGATCTCTGCTACAGTTCTGGACCACATGTTGAAAACCAGAGAGGGAGGAGAGCTGCCCAAGACCCTGACTGAGATGTACATCCACTTCCTGGTGGTTCAGTCCAAAGTGAAGAAAGTCAAGTATGATGGAGGAGCTGAGACAGATCCACACTGGAATCCAGAGAGCAGGAAGATGGTCCTGGGTTTCTGGGGAAACTGGCTTTCCAGGAGCTGAAGAGAAGGCAACATCATCTTCTATGAGTCCGACCTGACCCCCGGAGTGTGGCACAAATTGCACACTAATCAGAGCAGCCTCAGTTACTTCAGGAGTGTTCACTGAGGTCTTTAAAGAGGAGACAGGAATGCACCAGGACAAGATGTTCTGCTTCGTCCATCTGAGCGTTCAGGAGTTCCTGGCTGCTCTTTATGTCCATCTGACATTCTTTAACTCTGGAGTCAATCTGTTGTCAGAAGAACAACATCCTCCACTGTGGTCTAATTGGTTCGGAGTCAGACCTGAACACTTCTATCAGAGTGCAGTGGACAAGGCCTTACAGAGGTCCAAAACGGACACCTGGACTTGTTCCTACCGCTTCCTCATGGGTCTCTCATTGAGACAATCAGACACTCCTACAGCCTGGTGACACAGACAAAAGCAGCGCACTGACCAACCAGGAACAGTTAAATACATCAGGAAGAAGATCGAAAATAATTTCTCTGGGCAGAGAAAAGCATCAATCTCTTCCAACTGTCTGAATGAACTGAACGACAGTTCACTAATTCATGAGATCCAGAAAGGCCTGAATTCAACTTCTCTCTCCACTGATAAGTGGTCACCTGTTCAGTGGGTCAGCTTTGGTCTTCATCTTACTGTCTTCACAAAGCGATCTGGAGGTGTTTGACCTGAAGACATACTCAGATTCAGGAGGAGGATCTTCTGAGGCTGATGCCAGTGGTGAAAGCCTCCACCAAAGCTCTGTAGGTTGAAATGAGGGTGCTCCAAGGGGGTGTTATTACTTACTATTTTAAGGTCTTTTAATTATTGTGAAGCATTATTTATTATCTAAACTAATTCTACAACAATGAATATTAAATATTAAAGAACATCTTACGTTACGTTTTTGTTGCCAATCCTTCTTCAGGCTGAATTGCTGTAATCTGTCAGAGGAAAGCTGCAGAAGCTCTGTCTTCAGTGCTGAGCTCTGATTCCTCCAGTCTGAGAGAGCTGGACCTGAGCAACAACGACCTGCAGGATTCAGGAGTGAAGCTGCTCTGTGAAGGACTGCAGAATCCACACTGTAAACTGAAATCTCTCAGGTCAGTATTCAATCATTTGTTTAACAGATATTGTGCACAACGAACATTGGGTGGAAATATTTGTTTTGTATATCCAGACGATAACTTTCTATTCCAGTTATTTGGAACTCTCTGGACGTTCATTTTAAATGATTCAACCTTACAAGACTCCAGTCCACCTACAAGTAGCGTTGGAGGTATTGGGGGGAACAGGGAGAAGCTGGCCATATGCACCAGTGTTGTAATCAAGTCACCAAATCTCGAGTCCGAGTCAATCTCAAGTCCCCACTCTTCGAGCCAGAGTCCAAGTCCGAGTCAGCCAAGAAGAGTCCGAGTCACGCAAGACTGAATCCGAGTCAACATGTATTCATCTGAGTGGATATATTTGATTTAAATGTAGCTGTTGGTTTGGTTCTTATCAATCAATATTTGTTATTGTCTACATTGGTTTTATCCTTTTATTTTATGCATTGTTTTTATTCTGTCTATATAACTGCTGTGAAGCACTTTGGGCTGCAAGTTTTGTATGAAAGGTGCTATACAAATAGATAGACAAAGTATTTAGAAAGAGAAGTGTCCAGTTTAGTTTGATGTATTACGTTGTCTGTTTATTGTTAACTGTGGAGAACCAGCAATAAACAGATGTTTCCATCGGCACCCAAAAGACCGTTCATCTTTTTCTCCGTGATAAATAAAAGCCCGGACAGCTGGTTATCAGCTGACAACGAGCTGCGTCAGAACTTGCCGGTGAGCATCCAAACTACGGTTTAGGAGCCTAGATACCGATAGTAAACAATGTAAAATAACTTTTGCTCATGAAATTTGACGTTGTCCCAGTCTTTTCATCAATCATCCTTTTACAGAAGGGCTTTTTGCCTGCTCTTATTGTAAAAGCACACAGCACGATGCGGGGTAGTGTGTCTCTGCACATATTTAGACTCAGAATAGCGGGTGTGTGCGGTACGGGAACTCGCCTCGCAGCTACACAAGTCTGAGTACATCTGGACTTAAAGGGGACCTATCATGCAAAATGCACTTTTTGATGTATTTTATACATAAAGATGTGTCCCCGGTGTGTCAGGGAACTCATGCAGCGTCAGAAAATAAAACCCTCTCTCTTTTCCTCCGTACCCAAATCTCTAAAAACGGGGGAACAACGGAGCTGATCCAGATTTGCGTCCGATTCTGACGTGATTCAAGATGGCGCCTGTGTCGGCTCGCCGCTCCCTCAGCTCTCTACCTTTAGCTATCCTGTTTTTGTTTTATGTTTGTCAGAATGTCTCTGCTCTGCTCGTTTACGATCGCCAAGCTCTCCTCCACCTCAGACCCTCACTGGAGTGTATACTGCTGCCCAAACCTACATCTGGCAACCATAAATCGTCCCCCCCCCCCTCTACTGTCGAATATTCCCACCTACCTGCGCCGGTTGCCCTGCATCCTGCCTCGCCGAAAGCACTTTAGACGACGGGGAAAGCGTGGTGGTGCACTGGTCCATCTTAAAGCATACCTGACGGCTTCTCCTGGGACTTATCCACGCCTCGGATGTCATGGCCCTCCCGCTGCTAGCCCACACTAGTGCTACCCCAGATCCTGCTCCTTTTCTGTGCTCTGCTGTCCTCGACCACTTTGAGCCTGTATCCCTCTCTTCTCTCTCGGATGTAGTCAAGCACCTGCGGCCGACAAACTGCACCTCAGACAGCATTCCCTCTCGCCTTCTCAGAGATGTTTTTGATTCAGTTGGAGCAAGTATTATATTACTTTTAAATACCTCTCTTAGCTCAGGATGTGTCCCAGCTGCCTTCAAACATGCCGTGGTTAAGCCACTACTTAAAAAGAAAAATCTCGATCCCTCCATTCTCGCAAATTTTAGGCCCATCTCCCAGCTACCTTTTTTATCAAAAGCCCTGGAGCGAGTAGTCTATGCCCAGCTGCAGTCTTTTAACCACGCATGGAATCCATGAAAAGTTTCAGTCTGGCTTCAAACCCATGCACAGCACTGAAACAGCCCTTTTAAGAGTTTTTAATGATCTGCTCCTAGCCGCCGACTCAGGTAGCTCCGCTGTCATGGTGCTGTTAGACCTGACAGCTGTCTTTGACACTGTGGACCATAGCATCCTGTTGTCACGGCTTGAACAGTCCGCTGGCATCACAGGCTCTGCCCTTGCATGGTTCAGGTCCTACCTGACAGACCGTAGCTTCTCGGTACAGCTAGGTGCCTTCTCCTCTGCCAAAGCCCCTCTTACCTGTGGGGTTCCCCAAGGCTCGATTCTGGGCCCCATCCTTTTTCTACTGTACATACTGCCCCTAGGTTCAATTCTCACAAAACATAATATTCCCTTCCACTGCTACGCCGACGATGTACAGATATATCTTCCTCTAAAAGCAAATGTCAAACACTCACTACAGCAGCTGATGGACTGCTTAGCAGAGATTAAATCCTGGCTGAGCAAAAACTTTCTCAACCTCAACGAGAGCAAGACTGAGGTCATCTTTTTTGGACCCCAACCTCCAGCCACCCCGGTTGATATTCTGGGCTCTCTCAAAAAAAACATCCTCCCCTCGGTCATGAACCTTGGAGTGACCTTCACTAGCACTTTTAAATTCGACAAGCAGGTCAGCACTGTAGTCAAATCCTGCTTTTTTTAAATAAGACTATTGGCCAAAACCAAGTCGTATTTATCTTTTAATGACTTAGAAAGGGTTATTAACGCCTTTGTAACCTCAAGACTGGACTATTGCAACGCTCTGTATGTGGGTATGGACCAGGCCTCAATTAAACGCCTGCAGCTAGTCCAAAACGCAGCTGCACATTTGCTGACTGGCCACAAAAAGCGTGACCACATCACCCCAATTCTGGCCTCACTACACTGGCTTCCAGTTCGGTTCAGAATTGAATATAGCTGAACTCCTCCATCGCTACACCCCAGCCAGAGCTTTAAGGTCTGCTGACCAGCTGTTGCTGGTAGTGCCCAAGACCAGGCTTAAAACCCGAGGGTACCGAGCCTTCGCAGCAGCTGGCCCTAGGTTCTGGAACACTCTGCCCCTCCATGTGAGGTCGGCCCAGACCCTAGGGGTTTTTAAATCTACACTAAAAACACACTTCTTCTCTCTGGCCTTCTAGTTAGAGCGGAGCACGACTCCTGACTTTTCCTTGTATTTTATTTTTATTTTTTATATATATCTGTTGTAATTTATTGTCTTTTATTGTGATTGTAGTCATGTGTTTTTATTACATGTACAGCACTTTGGCTCGACCAAAAATCGCTTTTAAATGTGCTTTATAAATAAAACTTGATTTGATTTGATGACGTAATATTTGAAATGTGGACCCACGGCCCTATCAGAAACGTTGCTATCAGAAACAATGCCCGACTGTTTTGGACGTAACATGGTCGGTGTTTACATTAGCATCGCTAACACTCAGAGCTAACCTGTACTGGAGAGCATGTGTGTGAAGAAGCAGGAAATAAAAAGGAACTCACCTTGTGGTATAACCGGCAAGAGAGAAAGCCTTTGAGCTCCATACTGTTTCAGAGAGAATCCTTGATAATCCATGATATGGCGTTTCATCACGGCAGTATTTAGTTTAGACAGTAGCTGCCGGGTCCCGCATGAGCTCAGACCCCTCCTTTTTTATTTTTTATCCATTTTTTTTTTTTAAAGCTTTATACCCCAAATCAGCACCTTTAAGACAAAACTTGTTTGAGTCCAAGTCCGATCGTCAATGTGCGAGTCCGAGTTAGAGTCCGCGTCCATCAGTACACGAGTCTGAGTCCTCATGCGCAAAAATTCAAGGGTTCAAATCCATTACAGTCCTGCGAATCGGCCAAGTCCAGGACTCGAGTACTCCAAGTCTGATATGCACTACAGTGCACAACAATCTGTGTACAAATAATGCACCAGAGTAAGTGGGAAAGGGGT